CCAGACCTAACTAATAAGTAGAAACAAATAAAAAGAACAACTAAAATGAGGAGATAAAGAAACAACTCCAAAAATGAAAGAAAAGGAAGAATCACAGAAAAAGAGCTAACTGAAACTGAGGCAAGCAATTTATCAGAGATAGAGTTCAAAGAAATGGTTACAAGGATTCTAAAGGAACTTAGGCGGAACTTATATCAGCATGAAAAAGGATGTAGAAACAATGAATGAAAACCAGTTGGAAATGAAAAATAGTAGAAAATAAAAGCTGGGTAGACGAAGCAGAGGATTGAATTAGCAATCTGGAACACAAGGTAGGGAAAAAAACAACCCAATCAGAGCAAGAAAAGGAAAAAAGACTTAAAAAGAATGAGGATGGTTTAAGGGAACTTTGGAACAATATGAAATGTAACAATATCCGCATATTAGGGATACCAGGAGGAGAAGAAAGTGAGCAAGGGATAGAGAACTTGTTTGAAGAAATAATGACAGAAAACTTCCATAACTTGGTGAAGAAAAAAAGTCACACAAGTTCAGGAAACACTGAGAGTCCCAATCAAGCAGAACCCCAAAAGACCCATACCAAAACACATAATAATTAAAATGGCAAAGTTTAAAAGACAAAGAGAGAACCTTAAAGGCAGCAAAGAAGAAACAGTTACCTATAAGGGAGCTCAGAAAAGACTGTCAGCATCAGGCCAGAAGGGATTGGCATGAAATATTCAAGGTAATGAAAACTAAGGATCTGCAACCAAGACTACTCTATCCAACAAGACTATCATTTAAAATTGAAGGTGAAATAAAGAGATTTACAGACAAAAAAGGTAAAGGAACCAAGCACCAAACATCATTAACACCAAACCAGCACTGCGAGAGGTATTAAAGGGGCTACTTTAAGAAGTAATAGCCTTGGCTGGTGTGGCTCAGTGGATTGAGTGCTGGCCTGCGAACCAAGGAGTCACTGGTTGTTTCTGGGTCAAGGCACGTGCCTTGGTTGCAGGAAGGGTCTCCAGTTGGGGACGTGTGGGAGGCAACCTGTCGATGTATCTCTCACATGTTGATGTTTCTCTTTCTTTCTCCTCCCTTCCCCAACTCTCTAAAAATGGATAGGTAAAATCTTTAAAAAAAAAAAAAAAAAAAAAGTGAGAGGGAGAGAGGAAGAGAGAAACACAGGTGAGTGCTGGCCTGTGAACCAAAGGGTCCAATCCCCAGTCTAGGGCACAATGCCTGGGTTGCAGGCCAGGTACCCAGCAAGAGGTGCAGGAGACACAAAAACATACATTACTGTTTCTCTCCCTCTTTCTTCTTCCCTTTCCCTCTCTAAATAAGAAAATAAAATCTTAAAAAATTAAAAATGACCCATGTATGCTATCCATAAGAGGGCCACCTCAGAACAAAAGATTTACACAGGCTAAAAGTGAAGTGATTGGAAAAAAAAAAATCCAAATAGAGACCAAAAAAAAAAAAAAAAAAAGCAAAGCTAGGTAGCTACACTTATATCTGATAAAATACACTTCAAAACAAAGGCAATAAAGAGAGAAAAACAAGGCCACTACATAATACTAAAGGGAACAATCCAACAAGAGGATATAACCCTTATAAATATATACACACCCACCCAATACAGGAGCACCTAAATATATAAAGAAAATCCTGGTGGACTTTAAGAAAGAAATTGATAGCAATACGGTCATTGTAGAGAATTAAAAAAATTTTTTTTTTTTATTTTTAGAGAAGGGGGAAAGTAGTAAGGCAGGGAGAGAAACATCAATGTGTGACTGCCTTTCACGTGTCCCCCACTGGGGACGCGGTCCACAACCCTAGGCATGTGTCCTGACTGGGAATTGAACCGGTGACACCTTGGTTTGCAGGCCGGCACTCAATTGACTGAACCACAAAAGCCAGGGCAATTCACCATTTTTGCTGTTTTTTTTTTTTTTTTAAATGCATGCTGCTATGACAGCTGTCACTGTACAGTCTTAACAAAATTGTTGAGTGAAATTAAAGACAACTAAATGCTACTAGAGCTATTGTACAGAAAAAACTAAACCAACCTTCTGGCCAATCCAATAAGAATCCAATAGAATAAGAGGCACAGAAACAAGGAACAGACTTGTAGCTGTAAGAGGGGAGGGGGTACGTTGGATTGCTTGAAAGAAGGTGAGGGCACTAAACAAGGAATACATATGCATCACTCATGGACAAGAACAATGGTGTGAAGATTGTGGGATGAGGGAAGCTGGGGGGTGAGGGGCAAAGGACGAAAAGTGGGGATGACCGTAATAGCATAAGTAATAAGAAAATTTTTTAAAATTAAAAAGACATTCTGAGTTAGGAGTGATGCAAGCAAGGTGCCTTCAAAGTGTTCTTGCAAAATGGTAGCAGCAGATGCTTAGTAAATAGGTGCTACTCCCCAGAAGTACACTAGATGGCAGCAGAACATTTCCTGGCAGTGTGCATCTTAGTGTATGGCGGTCTCCTGCTTTGAGAGTGTAGAGGGTCGGCCACATCAGCTCTGGATTCTGAGCGTTGGGAGGGGTCCCACCTGAGTTAGAAGTTCTGTCATGTCAGCTCTGAGTCCTACGAGTGTGGGGTGAGGTCCATCAAGAAAGAGTTGGAGATCCTTACACATCATCTCTGTGTTTATTTAGTGTGGGATGTGAATTTATTTGAGAGAATAGGCGGTGTCCTTTGACATCATATCTGGATTTTGTGAATGTGGGGATGAGTTTTGCCTGAGAAAATAGGGGATCCTGTGACATTAACCTTGAGTCCTGTGAGTGTAAAGAGTCATACATGATAGTGGGGTGTCCAGTCACTACAGCTCTTGATCCTGTTGAGTGTTGCAGGCAGCCTCGCCCTGTAAGAGTAGGGTGTCCAATCACATCAACTATTCTCTATGAGTGTGAGGAAAGGTCTGGCCTTGAGAGATTTGGGGGTCTTATCACCTCTGGTTCTTGTGAGTGAGGGGAGGGGTCCCTCCATGAAATAGCAGGGGGGTCCGGTCATATCAGTTTTAAGTTCTGTGAGTATGGAAAGTGTTCCCTTCCTGAGTAGGGGGTCCTGTCACATCAGCTTTGTGTCCTGTGAGTGTGGATATCAGCCCTTTCCTGAAAGAGTTGGGGGTTGTGTTACATCAGCTCTGGGAGAGTAATAAGTCCAGTAGTTTCACAAATAATGATTTACAACTATTTTCAAAGGTGATCAGGAGAGAAATTACATAAAAAGTGTTTTATATAATAAATACCTAACCTATGGAATACAAACAGGAACTGAAGTGTTATGTAGTGGTCTTCTTCAAGGGCACATACTTTGTCTAATTTTCCTAAAGGCAAATTAGGAATCACTTTTCTGAGAAGTGATTTACTAACATTATGTGAAAATTCTATAAAGGGAAGAGAGTGGCAGGCAGAAGACAGAAAATTAAATAACGAAAAACCAAAGAGACAAAACTTTTGTCTGGAGAATTATTGGTGAAAAATATTTTTGAAACATTACCCAGGAAAATCTTAGTGAATACAACACACAGTTTGTCCACTGCATTTATGATAGGTAAAGTACTATTCTAGGGATGCAGAAGGTGACAGGGTTACAGGCAGAAAAAACATGCTCTTTTGTTCAAGGAATTCATAATCTATTGGCTAAGGCAATGCATAATTGTCAATGAAGCGGCACAAGGTACAAGCTCCTGACTTCCATATCTCAACTGGTTACCTGAGAGCCAACTGTATTTGGATGTATCACAGAAATCGCAAGGTTTAATAGGTAAAACCCTGAATTTTTAGTTTCCTCTCAAACCTCTTTCCTTGTACTTTTCTCCATTTCAGTAAATGGCACTACTCTCCATCAGTTACTCAGGCCAGATACCTAGGAATCATCCTTCATTCCTGTTTTCTTCAAGTCCCACATTACACCCTTTGGTAAATGGTTGAGTCTATTTTCATAACTAAAAACCATCATTCACCCTCCAACCCATATTCTGCTACCATCTTAACGTAAACCATCACTATGTCCTGCTTATGTTGCTGCTTGAGCCTCCTAAGTGGTTTGGTCCCTTCCAATCTCTCCAGATTTCATCTCATACAATTGTACTTTCTGAATATATTTCAGAAACACTGGTCTTTGCTTAGGTTCTTGAACATGAAGGTAACTCCAGGCCTTTGCACAACCCATTCACTCTGGAATGTTTTTCCTCTCTCCTGTTGAATGGCTGGATCACTCTCATCTCTTAGGCCTCAATATAAGTGTTGGCTTTTCATATAGGCCTTCCCAGACCAATCTAATTCAAACAGGTTCCCCTTTTCGCTCATATAAGTCCATCTCTAAAAGGTTTAAGTCCTATTAGGACAGGAATCTATCTTGTTAACTATTGTAATCCCAGTACCTAGTGATAGGACAAAGCCTGTGCCATTTGCTATTGTGGCACCATTTGCCTAGCAGTCCTAGGACCTTGTGAAACATGGCTGCCATTTTACTCTTCTGGGTTTACGTCCTGGGGACTGGAAATTCCCCGAAGGGGGAACACAAAGTGAGCCAGCTGAAAATTTATCTGTGAGCACCTAAAAAACTGGAGTATTACCTTTCCCTTTTCTGCATTCCAGTTCCTGACTCATCCCTGTGCAGCTCGAGTACAGTAAATGATCAATAAACCCTGGCTGAGCGATTACAACAGGACCGTCTAAAATCAAAACGCTTGTCTTAGTCTCAACTTTCGCTTATCAGCGCCGTCTTATAGAAAAGCTAACTCCTGAAAAAAAACAAAGATGCTCTGAGTCTCATTCATAATGACGCTAAGGTCTTCGTGAGGAGGCTCCGGCCCTCCCCGAGAACATCTTTCTGTAGGTACTCACCGGAGCCGGAGGTCTGGGAACCTACTCTTAGAACGCTCAGTAACTCCGGCGGGCAGGCAGGAGTCAGAGCTTTCCAATCGAATCTCCCGCGTCCTTTTCCGCCAGAAGTGACGCTTAGGCCGTGGTTTGTCAGAGCCAATCAGAAGAAGGCACCGCCAAGGGCGGAGATTAACCTGGCTTTCCCGTGAACACTTGAGAACAACCATTTTCGTCAAACTGGCTTTAGAGGCAGGTTAGACGGAAGTTGCAGGTTTGACGGAAGTTTCTCACGATCGGTGCAGTAGTCTGTAAAACTGGTTTTGGAACGGCACCGGGCCAGCTGGGCGCAGGGATTCCGCGGGAAGGGGTGGGAGCGCAGTTCCTACTGAGGTTGGGCGGGGTGACTGAAGGAGAATGAAAGCCCGCAGAAAAGGGTTGGCGGAGCCGTGAAGACGGAAGGGGGTTCTCTGCTTGAGAGGAGATGGCACTGCCCGGGGACGGGGGGACCAAGTGGGTGGTCTCGGGCGGAGAACAGGAAGGAGAGAGAAGGAGCCTGAAGCGGGCTACGTGTAAGACGGAGGGGGCGTAATCAGAAGAAGGGACAAGGACCAAGCGGGATTCGGAGGCTACGTGGGCCGCGGGCGACCTCCCTTAAGTATAGGTTGCGTGGGCAACACGGAAGTTCGGGTTGACCCTCGGACAGAGTACCGTAGGAGGTGGTTAGACTTAATAGAGGTGCAGTCCAGGAGCTAGACGGAGCATTCTGAGAAGCTGTGCTCCGCTTATCCGATCTGAGTGACCCAGTGCAAGCCCCGCCCCTGAGTTTACTCTTCTGCAAATGGGAATAACAATCATACGCAGGCACAAGATTTCTGAGACGGTTGAGTTAGAGGAGATGATAGGTGTGCCATTACGCCCAGTGTTACAGTGACATGTAGTGGACAATCAATAAATTGTCCCAGTAACTATTATTACCATTACATGGGATTTATGGAGAGCAAGAGATGTGGCAATGAGAGTAAGACAGGGTAGGGTTCGGAGGTGACGATGAAGGTGTGAATATAGGGTGACCACGCGGAAAGGGGGCGGTTTAGTTAAGGATTTGACTTGGCGGTCAGGTAGTATGGGGCCCAAGGATGATGAGTGCAGATTTGGCGTGTGACCAGAATGAGGGTGAACTCAAGTAGGGACAGTACCGGAGGGAAATGAAATGTGGTGGCGTCCTCTGGGACAGGGGTGGGAGCGGTGTGGTTTGGGTGACCTGGGTTTAGGCAAAGTTGCTAAGGTACCGGGTGACTTTGGGTTTCCCGCGGGAGGAGCCTGTTTGAGTCGGGCGGAGCTGCGGGCTGGGCGCGGCTCTGGCTGCGCGCAGCTGCGGGTCCACCTCTCTTTCTCACTGCAGCCAGCCTGAGCCATGGGGCGCCCGGTCCTCCTGCCTCTATTCTTGGCTTTCCTGATGCCGGTGGTTGCCATCCCCGTACCGCCAGCCCTAAGGTCTCTCAGCAACCTGCATTTGTCAACCAGCCTGAAGTCCCGCCCCGCTGTAGTCATGAAGTACTCGATTCACTACATAGAACAGAAGGTAAGGCAGGATGGGGTTTGGGAGGAAAAGATTGAGGCTTCGTAGTTTCCCGCCCAACCTACAGGACCTCAGGCACCATAAGCCACCCGGAATTTCAGTGCTAGTGCCTAGAACTTGTCCGACTTCGGATCACATCTTCCAGAGGGCAGCCCTACGTCCTAGTTCTTTTTACAATCTCTTGCCCCGTTACCAATAAGTTACTATCAATCCTGGCTTCACACTTTTCTGTAATTGGCCACAACAATCACTTCAAGTTCTTCTGTTCTCAGAGGATGCTCTAATTCAAATTCCCTTGACCTCCCTGCCAATGCAAATTATTTAACACCAACTCTGGCCTCTACTCTGCGTTAACAGTCACTCTTTGTCCCAAAGCTGCCCTTAAATAAAAGTTTCCACTATTATTAGGTGATATTTAATATTCTGCTCAAACGCCAGCTTGTCATCTCATGCTCAACTTGGTTTTGTAGCCCTTTTATTAAGAATGTTTAACCTTGCCTATTCTCCTAAGACTGAACATTTATGCAACCTCAGCCTGTAAAGGAATTTGAAGCATGTCAAGCTTTGGGAATGAGGTGAGGGTGAGGGTTAGCATCTCTGTGGTTCTGAAGCTTGAATTTGGAAATTAAGGGAGGCTTGATGACTTTGTGCTTGGCTGAAGCATGAGGTATCATTCTCCAACTAGCCTGGATGGAAATATACATCCCTTGGGAAATGATGGGGTCCTGTACAGCTCTGGATTTCTGGGTGCCTGTGTAAAGACAGACAAGATTTGGGGAAGGCTGGGATTAGAAAGAATGCAAGAATCTGAAGTTTGGCTTTTAGAGTCATAGAGACTAGGTTTCTACTCTGCTAACTCTGTGACTTTGGGAAAGTTACAGGTACTTCCCTTTTTGAGCCCAATTTATTGATCTTCTGGGTATTTGGCAATGGTTGAATGAGAGCAGATGACACGTCCCTAGCAGAGTATCTGTCCTCTAGTAGGCACTTATTAAATTCATGATTACCTATGTAAGTTTTGAATAGGAATTTTGGGTAGAAGGGTGGCATGAACTTGTAGGATAGTTTAAAAGAAATGTTTTTTAACCCAGAAATTTAGAGTTTATGAGGAAGAGAAAGCATTTTAATTTTAGCACAGATGCCAGAAAAGAGCAGTCTTTTTCTCAGGCAAGTCAAATTAATTATCTAGACTGGAGTTTCCTCATTTTTAAATTTAGAGTTTTGGAGAAGGACCAAGCTGTTTCACATTTCACTGAGGAAAGATAAGGGCTCTATGGGGAGGTATCTCAGAGGGTCGGTGGGTGAAGACCCAAGTGGAGGCTGAGTTAAGGTGCCACAGTACTTCCTTTCACCCTGACCTCTTTCAACCTGAGCTTTACGCTTTCATCTGTTTTATATACTGATTTTGTATGACTATTTGTAGCACTCTATTGCTAAAGTAAAATTGAAGGGCAACTGTTGGAGTTAAGGATCTCTAGAATCCTTTTAGGAATGATGAAAAAGAACCATCAGCAGAAAAGGAGAATGAAAGGGTAGAAAAGACCGAGTGATCTGTTAGCTTCTAGTTAATATTTCTATAGAGTAGATTCCTTTATTGACCACTTCATTCTTTAGAAATTAATTTAAGGTTAGTTATTTTTCCATTTTGGTAATCTGGAAAATCTGTTTAGCTTTACTCAGCCACCCCTTTCCCTCTGGCCCAAATATAAAATTTAGTTCATATTTTAGGACACAGATTCCACACATATCTTTTTTATCATAGTAATAATTTTCTTTGCATCAACTCCAATTGAATTTTATTTAATTTTTTTTTGAGAAAAACTTCCACATGTGTATTTACTGCATAATAGTTATGGTAGATGCCAGTTTCTGGACCATAGATTTTTAGTTGTGGCTAACTATATCCATGCAAAATCAACCTTATTGTTTTTTTAGTTAGAGCACAAGAAATACTTCTATGCCTTTTAATAATAAACATTATTGTTATAACTATAAGGCTCAGTTTTTAGTCAATTTTAATTTTTACCAAACTTTCTAATGATTTTCTTTATCTGTGCCCATATCTGACCAAGCTATTTCCCCGCTGTCCTTATATGCATACGAGCTCCATGAATGGTTTCAGTAAAAAGGCCAGCCCATGATGACCCTGTCCCACTCCTGCTTAAAAATCCTTCATAACTCTGATTGTTTGCAAGGTAAAGGTCAAACTCCTTGGCGTTGTTCCTCACCATATAAGCAACCCCAGCTGGCCTTTCTAGTTTCATATCCTACCATAAGCCTCTGTACCCCCCAACACACACATATAGTTTTAGCAACATAGAACATAGATTCAATGGAATTTTACTGTGTCGGAAATTCTGTCTGGAATACCATCCCTCTTCTCCACTTAAACTTATACTTCTGTCTGAGCTGAAATGTCATCTATTTTGTGAAACCTTCTTTGCTTTAGGGCAACTTTAGTTGGTCTGTTTTTCACTCTGCACACTTAGTATTTTGTATGTGTCCTCGTCCACCCCATAGGTAGCACTCTATAGTATCCAGAAGGGCTCTTAAAAAAAAAAAAGTACAAAATAAATATTTGTTGAGGGAGTGAGTGAATGACTAACCAAAGAAAGCCTAAACAAAGCAAAGTGACACAAATAATTTTTAATTTTCTTTCTTTATCTTTTACTTCCATTTTTTTGTGCATGTGTGTGTTATATGCTGCTGAGTTGGCTCTGAATTCTGGAAACTCTGAATGAGTGATGTCCAGAATGTCCTGTCCTCACCAGCGCTGCTTAGCTCCTGAAGACTTGTGCTCATGGCTTCTTTTATGGGATCAATCTATCACATATTTGGTCCTCCTCTTTTCCTGCTGCCTTCTATTTTTCTCAGCATAATTGTCTTTCCTCTGCCCTCTCACGATGTGAGGAAGTAGGACAGCTTCAGTTTTGTCATTTTTTCCTCCAGTGATATTTTAGGTTTAATTTGCTCTAGGATCTACTTATTTGTCTCTCTGGCAGTTCAGGGTATTTATAGCTCCTCCAATACTATATTTCAAGTGAATCAAATTTTTCCTATCTGTGTATTTTCTTCACTGTCCAACTTTTGGCATCTGTACATATAATTGGGAATATGAGATGTGGATGACCTTAACTTCAGTCTCTAAGGACACATCTTTGCAATTGGCAATCTTTCGTAATTCTCCCATTGCTGGTGCCCTTTTGAGTCTTATCCTTCTCTTGATTTTTTGGCTGCAGTCTCCATTTGAATTGATGATTGAACCAAGTTCAGCAAAATCTTTACTAATCACTTTTCCTTTCAAAGACTTCAAATGTTATTTATTTGGTAGGAATATTTTATTTCTTTTATCCAAAATAACTGAATCAGGACTTCTGACCAAGATGGAGGCGTAGGTAGATATACTTTGCCTCCTTGCACAACCAAAAGAAGGGCAAATTTAAAAACAAAAAACAACCAGAACTGCCAGAAAATCAAACTATATGGAAGTCTGATGACTAAGGAGTTAAAGAAGAAACATTCATCCAGACCTGTAGGAGGGGCAGAAATGGATAGCTGGGCAGGAAAGGACATGAGGTGAGGAAGCGGCTGGTGGACTGGGAAGAACATAAACCAGGAAGAACATCTGGGGAACGAGACAGACCACATAATCCAGGGAGGAAATAGAAAGCCTCCAAACCTTTGGATATAAAACCCTGTGGGCATTGTGGCAGCAGGAGAAACTCCTAGCCTACAGGAGAGTTTGTTGGAGAGATCCATGGAGTCCTAGAACATACAAAAACCCACCCACCTGGGAATCATCACTAGAAGGGCCCAATTTTCTTGTGGATAGCAAGGGAAGTGACTGAAAGCCAGTGGAGAGCCAAGCAAGCAACATTGTTCCCTCTCAGACCCCTCCCCCACATACAGCATTACAACACAACTACCTGGGTTGCCCCGCCCTGGCAAATACATAAGGCTCCACCTCTCCAAACGTAGCAGGCATGCTGAGACAAAGAAATATGGCCCAAATGAAAGAAAAGATCAAAGCTCCGAAAATAGAACTAAGCAATGAAGTGATAGCGAACCTCTCAAATACACCGTTCAAAACACTGGTCATCTGGATGTTCGCTGAATTGGTTGAGTATGGTCACAAAATGGAGGAAAACATGAAGGCTATGCAAAGTGAAATAAAGAAAACTATACAGGGAACCAACAGTAAAGGGAAGGAAACTGGAACTCAAACCAACATTAGGAGCAGAAGGAAGAGATAAACATTTAACTAGAACAGAATGAAGAAACAAGAATTCAAAAAAATGAGGAGAGGCTTAGGAACCTCTGGGACAACTTTTAAATGATCCAACATCTGAATCATAGTGGTGCCAGAAGTAGAAGAGGAAGAGCAAGAAATTGAAAACTTATTTGAAAAAATAATGAAGAGAACTTCTCCAATCTGGCGAAGGAAGAAGACTTTTAGGAGGTCCAGGAAGTTCAGAGAGTTCCAAAGAAGTTGGACCCAAGGAAGGGCACACTAAGGCACATCATAATTGCATTACCCAAGATTAAAGATAAGGAGAGAACCTTAAAAGCAGCAAGAGAAAAGGAGATAGTTACCTACAAAGGAGTTCCTGTAAGACTATCAGTTGATTTTTCAAAAGAAACCTTGCAGGCAAGAAGGGGCTAGCAAGGACCTCCATCCCAGATTACTCTATCCAGCAAAGCTATCATTTAGAATGGAAAGTGCTTCCCAGATTAGGTCAAGTTAAAGGAGTTCACCATCACCAAGCCCTTACCATATGAAATATTAAAGGGACTTATCTAAGAAATAGAAGAAGATCAAATCTATGAACAGTAAAATGGCAAAAAAAAAAAAACCCCTCACAACTATCAACAACTGAACCTAAAACAAAAACAAACATAAAAACAACCTAGGGAAACAACTAGAACAGGAACAGAATCACAAAAATGGAAATCACAGGGGAGGAGGAGGAGGGAGAATGGGCGAAAAGGTACAGGGGATAAGA